ATTCTGCACTGGCGTTCAGTTTCAAGTGTGTTCGTTTTCCATCGCCCTGACATTTTTGTTTTCATTCAGAATCGTTTAGGCATCACTCTGTAGCCTGTTTTGTCCATCTGTTGCTTTTCATTCAAGCCTCTTCTCGTTATTTGTTTACTTTAAAAAATAATTTGCAGATCAGTTGCACCAGTTTTTTGGTTTCTGTGCTCTTCTGGTATAAATTATATGGTCCAGTATATGTACAAGAAGCTCTGCTGTATCATGTAAAACGTGCCGACATCTGGCATAATTTTTCGCCCTATTTTTATCCGTTCTATTTATCATACAATGATCCTGTGGTCACTCAATTCATTGGCTTGTATGCTTTTGTGCCTCAGATTTTGCTCATTGCCTGGATTGCTTTCAGGTATCTTTTTTTCTTTTTTCGTTCTGACTTTTTTGTTTCGCCACTTGCGTTCCTTGCTTTAAAATTAACAATAACTCAATAAATTATGCAACGACTAGCAATGAGCGTTAGTAGGTAGCAGCTCATTTTTAGTAATGTATTGTGCTTTTGGTTTCTCGTGAACAATTTAACCAAATCAGTATTACGCCAGGAAGAACAGCTGAGCTGTTTCTATGGAGAAATCAGATGAACAGTGTAAATTAGTGAGCGGCATCCCTGTAATGTTAAGCGAATTATGTGGGACTTGGCGATGGCGGGAGGGGGGAAGGACGGGGGAAGGGGGGTGGGGAAAGGGAGGACTGTTTTCAGTGCGAGGGGGTGAATTTGTTTATATACTTCTTTAGAGTTATTCTATGCAAGAAATATGAAATGATAGGAAATGGGGAAGTTTCCAAGTTTGCTGGTACCTGAAAGGAACACAATTATAAAAGAATAGTAATTAAAATACCGAAATTTCACGTTTAAATGTCGGATATTATCATCGAAATATTCACACTTTTGCTCGATACTTTTTCGGCGAATTGCATTTTTCGCCGTGGTAACAGCGAGCAAGCATGTGAAAATAAGTAGAGCGAGAAGTAGCATTCTGTCAGTCAT